GCCTGAAGTCAACTAAAGGGCTAATGATAACTATCAAAATGCCTGCCATTTGATATAAATAAATAAATGCTCGCGTAAGCTAGGCTGCATGAATGCATCTAGAGAAGATCTTTGATTGGTAGTCTTGTGAACTATCGTAACTGCTTAAAGGAGGGCCACAAAATAACGATCAGGAAAGTTCTGATAGAGTAAAAAGATTCAAAAACTAAATTTCGGGAAATTAGCTCGAAGTGGAAGTTAGATTTTCTCAAGACTGTCCGTTCGTGCAATTACAAAGAACATATTAGGTAACCTTAAATTTATCCCCCAAAGTGAAAAATGACTCGCATTTCTAATCTAGATAACAATCAACTCATGTCGAGGTTTTCAAATGTGTGGAAAATATCCGTCCATGAAGCATTGAATTACACCCAAAAAACGAGAATGAACAAACTAGTGAATAACCAAACATTCATGCGAATGATATTTACGACTTTCCTAAAGAATTCCGAAAATAAACTAGTCTAGAGGCGAAGTCTTAAACCTCTTACCAGGATCGCATAATCGTTCAATTACAGTGTTGATTTTTCTCATATCCAATCCAAGCCACTGAACTATTACATTACAATAGCCATAGATGGGAATGAACAATACTACTGATGTAGTCACAGCGACTTAGTAGTTTAGACATATGCTTAGCGATACTTAAAAAGGTGATAAGGCTACTGTATTTTAAAACATTTAATATAGTCGACTAATTGCACCTGATCATACACTGGATCCTCAAATGAAGTATTGGTTGCATTTGTGGTCTTATTTCTCGATGATATACCCTGTCCGTCTTGACCGGAAGTATTTCTAACCACCAGTAGGAGTTCATTATCATTATTCACCGTCATTTGTGTTGCCTGATCAACTCCCCCCGATCCGAAAGTGATATATTCATGCCTCATCTTCGGTCTCACCACAGCAAGGGGTAAAGCCGAAGTGGATTCTAACACGGGAACCAATCGGCGAGCCGCCTCATGCAGCACATCTACAACCAAAGCACGGAAAGCTGTCATGGAGAGACGACCCAACTTCTGACGCGCTTGGTTGCGCACGGAGGTATAGGAAGTGTTGGGCGGGAGAAAGAAAAGAATAAGCGAGGAAGGACGAGTGTTGTTGACTGGCTGGAGGACTGCAGAGGATGGAGGAATTGATGAGAGAAGAGCTCCGCTCATTGAATGTGGACGACCACCAGAAGTGGTGGGAGGTGGCAGTGGACGCGTTGAGACATTACCACCATGAATGAAAGTCGGACCTGTGGAATTAGGTGGCTCAGCAGTTGACTCGAGGAATGAGTTGGTTAGACGCCGTTCCGCCTCATCGTAGATGTCAATACAAAGATCCTAAAGAGACGAAAATTAGAAATTGCTCACAAAGGAAATTTCGGGAAATACTGTGTGCCAATAACACTCAGTTGATCCATTGCTAGGAATGATGCAATAGGCAGGGGGGGGGGGAGGGTAAAATGTATTAAAGACCGTCATGGAATAACAGACGCAGACTTAACAATTGGTGATTTTGTTCAAACCATTCATTTGAATTCACACAGTACGTCTTTAATTTTTTAATAATAACTATTTGTCAATCAACATCTCACCCGAAACAACTATTTTCTTCCATTAGATCCGAGGCTGGCCTATTATATCGTGAAAATCGGTTCAAATTTCATCAACCACTCACACGTTAATTGAATTTGGGAGTGTTGCTAGGTTTTTGCTTTGCAAGTGGGGAAATAGGAA